AGCCTCAACTAATGTTACATTATCAGGGTGTATAAATAATGCATCACTTCCTTTAGAAGCAGTTCCCGCTAAAAAATCAGTACCAATTCCAACAAATAAATCTGAAAAGATATAACCAAAAAAATACTAAATATACCCAAATAATCATAGGTAATATCATTATAAAACTAGACTCGTGTGAATTTAAATATGTTAATTTACCCCCATTAGGCGAAGTTAAGAAAACTAAACTTATTAACCTAAAACTATAAAAAGCAGTTAAAAAAGCAGTTAATGAACCTAATACAAAAGCATAAGTTCCACTAAAGCTATATTTACTATAAGCTAATTCTAATATTAAATCTTTACTATAATAACCCGAAACAAAAGGTAAAGCCATTAATGAAATAGTTCCTACCATTAATAAGGAATAAGTAACGGGTAAAATTTAATCAGTCCACCCATTTTTCTAACATCTTGTTGATCAGCTACTGCATGAATAATTGAACCACTAGCTAAAAATAGTAGAGCTTTAAAGAAACTATGATTTACTACATGAAATAAGGCCACATTATACTGACTAAGCCCTACAGCCATCATCATATAACCTAATTGACTAATAGTAGAGAAGGCAACAATTCTTTTTAAATCATTTTGAACTAGCCCCGATGAAGCAGCTACAAAAGCAGTGGTAGAACCGATAAAAGTTAATATTAGTAAAGCTGTAGGGCTATATTCTAAAATAGGTGAACTTCTTAATAGTAAATAAATTCCCGCTGTAACAAGAGTAGCAGCATGTAGTAAGGCTGAAACTGGAGTAGGGGCTTCCATACTACCAGGCAACCAACTATGTAAAGGGATTTGAGCGGATTTAGCTAAACTACCCCCAATTAATAATAATGAAATAATAGTAATAGCTAATTGATTAGCACTAGGGGCTAATGAAAAAATAGACTCGTAATTAAGAGTCCCAAATAAACCAAATAAGGCAAAGAAACCGATACTTAATATCATATCCCCTGTTCTATTCATAGTAAAGGCCAATATAGCTGCTTTGTTTGCTTGTATTCTTGTAAAATAGAAATTAATTAACAAATAGGAGAATACCCCAATTGCTTCCCAACCCACAAACATTACAAAATAATTCCCTCCAAAACTAAAACTAGCATACCTCCTGTGAAAGCAGATAAGTAAGCAAAAAATCTTTGATTATGGGCATCAGTTTCTAAGTAAGAAATACTATAAAAGTGAATAAGAGTAGAACAATATAAAACTGCTAAACCTAATGAAATACTTAAATTATCGAATTTAAATTCTCAATTGATATTTAAAACTCCAGAGTCTACTCAAGAACCTAAATTTAAATTAATAGATTCTCCACCACATAGTACTATTTTATAAAAGCAATACTAATTAAGATTGAAGAAAGCAGTAAAGATAAACAAGTAATAAATTGGGAACCTTTAACTCCTAATTTTCGCCCTAAAAAACCCGCTACAAAAGAACCTAATAAAGGTAAAGCTACAATATTTATTATAATTAAATTAAGATTCATATATTAAACTTTTAGTAATAAATTTCCTCTTAATTTGTAATATGCTACTATTATACTTAATCCTATTATTGATTCAGCACCTGCAATTGATATTATATAAATACTAAATGTTTGACCTATATTGTCATTTAATTCAAAAGAAGTAATTAATATTAATAAAGTGCAAAAACTATATTAGTTTTAGATTACAAAGCCTGACGCTTAACCTTTACGGTCCCATATTACGCTCTGCTTCGCCTCGCGCTTCGCTCCTGCGGCCCGCAGCACTGCGCCCTGCTGAGGACTGCAGTGCTAAAGCAGTCCGCCTTGCGGCGTGCACGGAGGGAGGTGGGGTGGCCTCAGTAGTCTGCTTTTACCTGGACCTCTTGCACTCCGGCGCTACGCTGGTCTGATAAGAGCCTTGCACGCTTCGCGCCTGCATGTTTCGGTCAGCCTAGCCTGGCTAGCTAAAACAGAAGGAAGGTAAAGCAGGCGAAGTAGCTCTAAGCCGGAGTCGAGAGTAGTACTGAACTCCAGGTATTTTCGAGTCCAGGCTGGTTTTGGTTACACCGGGTGGCTGGCTGGCTATATTGGTAAGTTGACTCCGTAAAACTGCCCTTGCCGGTAGCTTAACTCCGCAAGGTGCTTCTACTTTAGCTGCAATACAGCAGTCCGCAGTCGCGAAGCGCGGGAAGGTTTGCACCAGGCGCCCTTTGCGATTGCTGAGTTAGACGGCCAGCTGAGGGTAGGGCGCGTTGCTAAAGACACCCTCAACTGTGCAGATGCGAGACTGATACTCACCGCACCCGCGGTACGCGAGTAGTGCTTTCGAAAGGCGCAACCGCTCCGCGTCAACTGAGAGCCAGCCAGCGCTCCAGCTCCGAAGCTTGGGGACTGAGAAGCAAGTGAAGGAGCTTTAGGTACCGCAGAGAAGCGCTCACCCTTATTAGCGGACTGTTCGCGCTGTGGCGGTTATTGCACAAAGGGTTTTTCTGCAGACGCGGAAGCGTGGTACCAAACAAAGGGTCAGCCATCAGACTCGTCCCGCGCTCGCTCCAACGCCTGCTTTGCTTTAGCTGCTACGCTACTCAGAGTTCGGCTAGCGGCCTCGAGACAGCGAGCTCCTCAGAGCTTCGCTCGCGGACGGGAGGGGTTAGGTATCTGATTCAACACAGAGGCCACCCCCTGCAGCGCATTCCCTGAGGTTAGCAGCAGCGGAAGGCTGCGTTACGATAATATGTGGGAGTCAAATTATATATCGAAGAGTGGACTCTCCTTTCTACCTAATCTGACCCTTGGCGGCTACGCCGTACCAGCTCTACATTACCTGATCCGAGCCTCTGGGCCCTTACCTTGCCAGCTTCGCCCCCCCCTCCCCCGCCGCGCTTCGCGACTGCGGAGGATGGGGGGCGAGCTGGCAATGTAAGGGCAGGGTCGGATCAGGTAATGTAAGCTGGTTACGGCGTAGCCTCCAGGGTCCAGATTTAGGTAGAAAGGAGAGTCCCACTCTTCGATATATAACTTTGACTCCACATATTATCGTACCGCAGCTTCCGCCTGCTGCTAACCTATCAGGGAATGCGCTGCAGGGGTAGCCCTCTGTGTTGACTCGATACCTAACCCCTCCCGTCAGCGAGCGAAGCTCTGAGGAGCTCGCTGTCTCGAGGCCGCTAGCCCGAACTCTGGTAGCGTAGCAGCTAAAGCACAGCAGGCGTTGGAGCGAAGCGCGGACCGAGTCTGATGGCTGACCCTTGTTTGGTACCACAGCCTCTCCGCGTCTGCAGAAAAACCCTTTGTGCAATAACCGCCACAGCGCGAAACAGTACCCGCTAATAAGGGTAGCGCTTCTCTGCGGTACCTAAAGCTCCTTCACTTGCTTCCTCAGTCCCCAAGCTCGGAGCCTGGAGCGCTGGCTGGCTCTCAGTTGACGCGGAGCGGTTGCGCCTTTCGAAAGCACTACTCGCGTACCGCGGGTGCGGTGAGTATCAGTCTCGCATCTGCACAGTTGAGGGTGTCTTTAGCAACGCGCCCTACCCTCAGCTGGCCGTCTACTACTCAGCAATCGCAAAGGGCGCCTGGTGCAAACCCTTCCCGCGCTTCGCGACTGCGGACTGCTGTATTGCAGCTAAAGTAGAAGCACCTTGCGGAGTTAAGCTACCGGCAAGGGCAGTTTTACGGAGTCAACTCCTTACCAATATAGCCAGCCAGCCACCCGGTGTAACCAAACCAGCCTGGACTCGAAAATACCTGGAGTTCAGTACTACTTCTCGACTCCGGCTTAGAGCTACTTCGCCTGCTTTACCTTCCTTCTGTTTTAGCTAGCCAGGCTAGGCTGACCGAAACATGCAGGCGCGAAGCGTGCAAGGCTCTTATCAGACCAGCGTAGCGCCGGAGTGCAAGAGGTCCAGGTAAAAGCAGACTACTGAGGCCACCCCACCTCCCTCCGTGCACGCCGCAAGGCGGACTGCTTTAGCACTGCAGTCCTCAGCAGGGCGCAGTGCTGCGGGCCGCAGGAGCGAAGCGCGAGGCGAAGCAGAGCGTAATATGGGACCGTAAAGGTTAAGCGTCAGGCTTTGTAATCTAAAACTAATATAGTTTTTGCACTTTATTAATATTAATTACTTCTTTTGAATTAATGACAATATAGGTCAAACATTTAGTATTTATATAATATCAATTGCAGGTGCTGAATCAATAATAGGATTAAGTATAATAGTAGCATATTACAAATTAAGAGGAAATTTATTACTAAAAGTTTAATATATGAATCTTAATTTAATTATAATAAATATTGTAGCTTTACCTTTATTAGGTTCTTTTGTAGCGGGTTTTTTAGGGCGAAAATTAGGAGTTAAAGGTTCCCAATTTATTACTTGTTTATCTTTACTGCTTTCTTCAATCTTAATTAGTATTGCTTTATAAAATAGTACTATGTGGTGGAGAATCTATTAATTTAAATTTAGGTTCTTGAGTAGACTCTGGAGTTTTAAATATCAATTGAGAATTTAAATTCGATAATTTAAGTATTTCATTAGGTTTAGCAGTTTTATATTGTTCTACTCTTATTCACTTTTATAGTATTTCTTACTTAGAAACTGATGCCCATAATCAAAGATTTTTTGCTTACTTATCTGCTTTCACAGGAGGTATGCTAGTTTTAGTTTTTGGAGGGAATTATTTTGTAATGTTTGTGGGTTGGGAAGCAATTGGGGTTTCTCCTATTTGTTAATTAATTTCTATTTTACAAGAATACAGCAAACAAAGCAGCTATATTGGCCTTTACTATGAATAGAACAGGGGATATGATATTAAGTATCGGTTTCTTTGCCTTATTTGGTTTATTTGGGACTCTTAATTACGAGTCTATTTTTTCATTAGCCCCTAGTGCTAATCAATTAGCTATTACTATTATTTCATTATTATTAATTGGGGGTAGTTTAGCTAAATCCGCTCAAATCCCTTTACATAGTTGGTTGCCTGGTAGTATGGAAGCCCCTACTCCAGTTTCAGCCTTACTACATGCTGCTACTCTTGTTACAGCGGGAATTTATTTACTATTAAGAAGTTCACCTATTTTAGAATATAGCCCTACAGCTTTACTAATATTAACTTTTATCGGTTCTACCACTGCTTTTGTAGCTGCTTCATCGGGGCTAGTTCAAAATGATTTAAAAAGAATTGTTGCCTTCTCTACTATTAGTCAATTAGGTTATATGATGATGGCTGTAGGGCTTAGTCAGTATAATGTGGCCTTATTTCATGTAGTAAATCATAGTTTCTTTAAAGCTCTACTATTTTTAGCTAGTGGTTCAATTATTCATGCAGTAGCTGATCAACAAGATGTTAGAAAAATGGGTGGACTGATTAAATTTTTACCCGTTACTTATTCCTTATTAATGGTAGGAACTATTTCATTAATGGCTTTACCTTTTGTTTCGGGTTATTATAGTAAAGATTTAATATTAGAATTAGCTTATAGTAAATATAGCTTTAGTGGAACTTATGCTTTTGTATTAGGTTCATTAACTGCTTTTTTAACTGCTTTTTATAGTTTTAGGTTAATAAGTTTAGTTTTCTTAACTTCGCCTAATGGGGGTAAATTAACATATTTAAATTCACACGAGTCTAGTTTTATAATGATATTACCTATGATTATTTTGGGTATATTAGTATTTTTTTTGGTTATATCTTTTCAGATTTATTTGTTGGAATTGGTACTGATTTTTTAGCGGGAACTGCTTCTAAAGGAAGTGATGCATTATTTATACACCCTGATAATGTAACATTAGTTGAGGCTGAATTTAGTTTACCCGTAATTATTAAACTTTTACCTACTTTTTTAAGTATAATTGGAGCTTTATTAGCCTTATATCTATATAATAAAAATATTAATTTTATAATAAAATTAACTGAAACAATATTTATATCAAAAATATACACTTTTTTAAATAGTAAGTACTTCTTTGATGTACTATATAATAACTATATCATTAGCAAAGGATTTAAATTTGGTTACAAAATATCAGAAGAATTAGATAAAGGTGTTATAGAATTAGTAGGACCTTTTGGATTGTCTAATTTATTCACTAAGATCGCAAAAAATATTGCTAAATTAGATACAGGATTGATACCTTCATATATTATTTATATTATTTCAGGGTTTATGTTTTTAATTTCATTTTCTTTTGCTCCTTTAATTTTAGATGACAATTTTACAGATTTTACTACTCTATTAATTATTTACATCCCTACTTTATATTTTTTTATTAATTTCTCCACAGTTGATACTATCAGAAGGAAGTAACTTGAAGCTGAATTAAAATTTATCTCCCCGCAGGGCGCAGTGCGCCCCCGAAGGGAGCGAAGCGCATAAAGCAGAACCACCGCTCCGCGCGCTCCGCTGGGCGAGCGCAGTGCGCTGCTGGCGAGCGCAGGAGCGAATCCTGCTCTCGCTTCGCGCTCGCAGGCAGTAATACGAGTTTAGAAACTAGGACCCTTCTTTATTAATAATTAGTTAAACTAAGGCTACTAATGATTACTACTAATGTCATTCAGCCCGCGCGCAAGTGTGCTCGCCCAGCGCTGCAGGGCGCAGGGCGGACTGCTTTAGCAACCTTCACTCGGCTGCTGCGCACTGCGGTCCGCAGGCGCGGAGCGGAGCGCGTGAGGGGAACAGATAAAGTTCCTAGAAATATACGTCACATAAAGGACTAGCGGAGACCTTGTTACCGCGCGCAGCAGAGTTAGAGCTATAACTCAAGTAACCTAAACAAAGAATCGCAGAAATATAACTGATACCCCCTTCCTGCTTTAGCACTTTGGGGGTCGCCTGGGTCCACTCGTCCAGCAAGGGCTGCGTACCAGTCCGCGCCTCCTTGAATTTAATTAACCCTCCTGCACCCTCGCCCTTCAGGTGGGGGTGCGCACCCCCTGCTACAGGAGGAGAGGCCCGCAGGCCGAGCGGAGTAGGATTGCTTTAGCATACTCCGTATTATCGTTCGCCTTGCCCCTGGTCTGTGCAGATTGTGAACCTGGATAAGCAACCGAAGTAAGCGGATCCTTATCTATCTTATATTAAGAGTGATATATCCTTAAAGCAATAGAGTACGAAGGAGATCTAGATGGTAGTGAAATTATCGAATAAAATAAAGACCGAGGAGGTATTGGGCAGCGATCCACTCGGCGCAAGCGGACCGCTAATTTAGCGGTCCGCTTCCCCTCGGGTCGGGGAAGGGTAGCGCACCTACCACACCGAGCGTAAGGATCGACTGCGGATGGGAGCGTGCAGAAGGAGGCGTGGATATCGTAGATCTGATAGAGGAGAGCGGGGATAATCAGCCCACCCGTTGGAGGTAGGTGAGCAAAAAATTATGAGTCCTGCAGCCGCCCAGCCTAGCTCTTTGTTCGGCACCCTCCCTCTTCTACCCTCGCTCGCTCCGCACTGGGCGCGGCCTGCGGAGCGTGTGAAGCGGAGCGAGGAAGAGGGCGGCTCCTCTGCTTCGCCACAAAGGGAGCGTAGCGCGCGCTGAGCGGTAGCGATGCTGTCCCGGCGTGTGCAAGGTAAAGCTGCAGTGCAGCAGCACGAATCCGCCGAGTTGGTGTTTAGGTTAGGGACAGGGCGCAGTGCAGCGGGCCGCAGGAGCGAAGCGCGTGAAGGGTTAAGCAAAGAATGAACTAGTATTGTAGATTAAACGCTCTACTTAAAAAAAGGTTTAATTTATTAAAATAAAAGATATAATTGCTTATTTTTCTTCAGTCCTAGTGCAAAGTCAATTCTTTAGAATTAAAATTTTATTCTCTTTTTTTTAAAAGTATAGTAATTTCTAAAACTAAGATTAAAAAATAATCTAGTTAAGGTTCTTTAAGGGTATATAAAAAAAGTATCAAATTTTATTATAAATAATAAGGGAAAATAAATAGAAAATAACAACGATTAAAAAAATTTTGTCCTCCTCCAGCATGCTGCGCTGCCTCTCCTTGCTTTAACGGCGCTCCGCAGGGGGCGCACTGCGTAACAGGAGCTACAATCCTGCGAATTCCCAGAGTCGAAGGACTGCTTTCTCATCTAGCGTCGCTGGTGCGAACCTCCAGCACTGCTAAGGGTTCGCAGCGCTGGAGGGACAGTGGAGGTTGAACAAGGGAGGGATAAATCCGCAGCCGTGGGCTCAGTCCCGTCACCAGTTACCTTCCGCCCTGCCGGGAGGCAGGCTCCAGCCTGTAATACTACGATTCAGGACCCTCGAGCAGTATGGGTTCAGGGCTAGTTTACGATAGCTAGCTTTGCTAAAGGAGAGAGTAGATTGTCTAACACTTAAGTTTTTGTTAAAAAATTTTTATTCTTTAGTTACATACAATCCCACCACCAGACCAGCGCTGCCCCTTCCCGAGCAGGGCGGGACAGGGGGCTGGGCGCAGCACGCTCGCGCCAGCTTCACTGGACTGTGCTAAAGCAGAAGCAGTTTGCAGGGTACCAGGGCAGCTATAATCCTGGAGGGTTGCGCGGGCGCGAACCTTTTACATCATGAGGAGGTGCTCTACCTTAACTCTCGCACTCGGGGAGGGCACGAGGGAGGCCTTTGAGCTGAGCTTCTTGGTACCTTAGCTATAAGGCAGGTAACGAGTAGATTAGCTTAGGTTAACCTGCCGTTGTATTCTTATTAATAATTTAGTGAAGCTCTAAACCTGGAGCGATCTTAAGAGAAAGTAGTTAAGGTGTGAAACGTTAACTTACCAGCTAAGTATATAGATAAGTAAACAGCTATCCTACTGTCCGCAGACAGGCTCTCCCTCCCGCGGAGCAGGTAAAGCAGAAGCAGTCCTTTAGAAGCAACGGGCCCCACCAGCAACGCTCAGCACGCGACAGGTGGGGCAGCGTAGCCCCTCCGCGACAGTGGAGCATGCTGTGCTGTTGACTAATTTAAGCAGCTCGCGCTTTGCACGCTTCTCGGTTGCGGAGTATACCGCCTTACCTTTTATCTGCAAGTCACTAGTGATTTCACTCTAGTAACTTAATTTGTTTAAGAGGATTAAAGTAGAGCTCACTCTTTAAAATAACTCTTAGACCAGAGCCGATAAGCTATAGGCTATATCCGCGATTAAGAGGTCCCCTATCACGAACGCTTTAGCTTTTTGATTTGAGTAAAGGATTGTAGTATCTTTAATTGAGAATTTAACGCCCTATGCTTTAACCTAATTTTTTTTAGATATAATCTAGTTTAGCTTTAAATATTTTAAATAACGCCTGCCATTCCGCCAGCGGACCGTAGACGGGGTCCCTTGAAGGGTTAATTTTTCAGCCGGCCTGCGGAGTATCAATATTAGTTTTCTTGCCTTCATCTGGACCCCCTCCGCAAAGCTTCACGTGCAGTTGCGTAAGTGTATCCCCACTGAGTATATTAAGAGCCCTCCAGCCCTTTCCGATTACTGATACCCTTTCACTAGCTTGTAAAGCTGGATCCTTAGTGTTTATTTCCTCTCAAGAATCCAAAATGGCGCTTCGCGAGAGCGGAGTCCCTGCAGAGTAGTTCTACTTAGACTCAAGGATATTAATAAGAGGGTTGTGCAGCAGTCACCCTTGCATGCTAAAGCAAGGTAGTGCTACCCCTTCGGAATGTTGCAGCGCTGCAGTGGTTACCCTGTTGTGGTAAAAAAATATATCCGCATATGATTGTATACTGGGAAAAAACAAAAACTTTAAAGTTAATTAGCACTAAAAAAGTCTTACAGAAATTCTATTAAATACACTTGTTGACTGGTACAACTAAAGCACTCCAATTTAATACTTCCTTAATTCTTAGTTTCCTCCCTGCTTGATTCAGTGGTCTAGTTGTTCTAGTTTTAAGAAGTTCATAGGTTCAGCCCTCCTACGCTGCAAAGATTCACTCCCCTGCTGTCCCTCAGAGGCAGCGCAAGGAAGCCGCGTTGCCTGCGGTAGCTTGACTCTGCCTGCAACCGTAGCTCACCAAAAAAACCAGCCTGCACTCCGAAGGCTCCAGTTCTATACCACCCGCGCTCGCCCTTACCATACTCGCTACCATACCTACGCAGGCGAGAAAAGCAGAAGGATCCTTACGAGCAATGCCAGCCCTCAGGGTTCTCCTCTTGACCGTTGGTTAGGACCCTTAGTCTCGCAGCAGTAGCGGACGTAAGCTGAGGAGAGGCTAATAAATAAATTATAGTCTCTAGTTTCTATCATCTAGCATCTAGCATCACCTTGTTTAAATAGCGCTTTTTAATTTAAGCTTCTTTGGTATAGTGGTTAAAACAACTTCCCTTCACGAAGTAAAGATCAGTTCAATTCTGGTAAGAAGCTTTATTTTTCAACCTGAAGCATAGCAACTCGGGGCAGCTCCTCTCCGTACCATCACTAGCTTTAAAGATTCTGAAGTACATTTGTACTACTAACTAATTACTTCGTTATACTTACTAACTTTACGAAAGTATACCAGCCTTTTTATACCCCTTGTGGGGAATTAGAGCGCAGTAGCCTTATATCTAAGGTGTAAAGGTAGACTCAGCAAAGCTCTGTAAGACCTCGAAGGTTTTCCCCTTCGCAATTAGTCAAGGGAAACCGTAGGTTCAGATCTGATAGCAGCACCCCTCCTGCTTTAAAGGGGAGCGAGCTAACCCCCCCCCCTTCCCGCCTTCGGTGTGTACCCCTTCATAATCCGAAAAGGGTGCGAAGAAGCAGCACTTATTATGCAAAAGAGGGTATTCCGAAAGGGAAGCACCCCGGCACTGCTAGAGTAAAGGGGCGGCCAGCACCACTTCTCAAGGCGAGAGTTTGTTTTGCGCTTTGCACGCTTCGCGCTTGCATTGTTAATGGTAGGTGTTCTTAATTCGGAGGCGCAGCTCGTGCTCCGCTGGTCGATTTTTTCCTTATCTCTAGTAAAGCGAGGGTCGCAGCTGCTTTAGCTACCGCAGGGCGGTGGTTCTGCTTTAGGGCTGCAGGGTGTCCGTCTGATACGACTAAAGTATTGTGCCAGCCTGGGGGTTGCAGTGGTCTCCGCAACCCCACTAGCAGTCGCTGCTTTAGCATCCTGCCCCAGGCAAACCCGATAAGAGGCAGCGCGAGTCGCGAAGCGCGGGAGGGAGCGAGCGCGAAGCGAGAGCAGGGCGCCCTGAGCCGAGGCAGCACGGCTGGGCGAGAGCTTAAAAAAACACTTAGGACCACTGTCGCATTCTATTGTAAAAACAAAAATTAAAAAAAAAATATAATAAATTTTGGACCGCTTTTAGAATTAGCGTTAAGGCAGGTGTAAAAATGCCTTGGACGCTTACCTCTACTAATGCCAAAGAGATTGGTACCCTTTATTTAGTTTTTGCTGTGTTTGCCGGTATGATAGGTACTGCTTTTTCAGTTTTAATTAGATTAGAATTAGCTGCTCCTGGATTACAATTTTTAGAGGGAGACCACCAATTGTTTAACGTAATCATTTCTGCTCACGCATTAATAATGATTTTCTTCATGGTTATGCCTGGTTTAGTAGGAGGTTTTGGTAATTACTTCTTACCAGTACAATTAGGTGCCCCAGATATGGCATTTCCGAGACTAAATAATATATCATTTTGATTGTTACCTCCTTCACTATTACTACTATTATTAAGTGCATTAGTAGAAAATGGAGCTGGTACAGGTTGAACAATATATCCTCCATTATCTGGAATTCAATCTCACTCAGGAGGTTCAGTTGATTTAGCAATTTTCTCACTACACTTAGCTGGAGTATCTTCATTATTGGGAGCTATAAATTTCATTTCTACTGCACTTAATATGAGAACTGATGGGATGTTGCTTCACAAAATGCCGTTATTCTGTTGGGCCATCTTTGTAACAGCAATCTTACTGCTAATTACTTTACCTGTATTAGCCGGAGCAATAACAATGATTTTAACTGATAGAAACTTTAATACATCCTTCTTCGATCCAGCTGGAGGAGGTGACCCTGTATTGTTTCAACACCTATTCTGGTTCTTTGGTCACCCTGAAGTATATGTTTTAATTATTCCAGCCTTCGGAATAGTTAGTCACATTGTTTCTACATTTTCAGGTAAACCTATCTTTGGTCAAATAGGTATGGTTTATGCAATGTTTTCTATTGGAATACTAGGTTGTCTAGTGTGGTCTCACCACATGTTCACAATCGGAATGGATGTAGATACGAGAGCATATTTTACTGCCGCTACGATGGTAATTGCTGTGCCTACTGGTATCAAAATCTTCAGTTGATTAGCTACACTATACGGTGGTAGTTTAAGATTACATACACCACTTGTGTTTACAGTAGGTTTCCTATTTTTATTCACATTCGGTGGATTAACCGGAGTAGTACTTTCAAATGCTTCAATTGATATAGCGTTCCATGATACTTACTACGTAGTTGCTCATTTTCACTACGTACTATCTATGGGAGCAGTATTTGGATTATTTGCTGGATTCTACTATTGAACTCCGAAAATCGTAGGTAAATTATTTAATGAAAAATTAGGTAAAATCCACTTTTGGACATTATTCATTGGGGTTAATTTAACATTCTTCCCGCAACACTTTTTAGGAATGGCCGGTATGCCTAGAAGAATTCCTGATTTCCCAGATTCATACGCTGGTTGAAATCTAGTATCAAGTTTAGGTTCTATTATTTCAGTTATTGCGACAGTATTATTTGGATATGTTATTTTCGATATATTTTCAAGTAAACCAGCCAAAGACTCAATACAAAATAACGCTTGAAGTATCCCTTCTCACTATGATGAAGAACTTAAATTTAACTTGATCGAAAGTTATAAAGAATTGGAATGAACAGTAGCTAGCCCAGCTCCTGAGCATTGCTTTACAAGTAACCCAAAACAATCTTAATATTAAAGAAATTAAAAAAAGTTAAAAAAGTTAAAAAAGTTAAAGAAGTTAAAAATAATAAATTGACCTTGATTCACTACCCCCTTTATTCACTGCATGCTCCTTCTCCGGTGGCCACATGCAGCTCCTCGCCTGCGGAGCCGTGGTTCGCGGGGTACGCAGGGTTCGCGCATGCGGAGCAGCGCCTGCGGAGCGGGGCGGTGTGCGAGGGAGCAGGGAGGGTGGTGTGGTGCGCGCTAACCCTCAACCAACCCCCTAAAGGAGAAGGTAGTATGCATAGGTAAAGGAGAGGCGGTAAAGAAAGGGGGGGGGTAGTTAGTAACTATAATAGTCCGCAGCGCTAAAAGGCTAAAGGGCTAAAGCTGTCGGAAGGGTTCCCCGCAAGCGCTTCGCGACCCCTTCTTATTGAAGATGAGGATTATCGCTACTTATTTTTCTCTCTATCCTTTTTTCCTATGCCCGGCGCTGTCCGCGCCCCCCACCTCTTAAGGGTTGCCCCCTGCGGAGCTCCAGCATCGCTGCTTGCCCGAAGGGAGCGTAGCGCGCGCTGCTCGCCCTGCGGAGCGAGGGAGGACAGCAGGAGGTACAGCATCCTTGATTTAAGGTCGGCGCTACTACAAATCCAATCAAGAAATCCCGTAGTCAGGTTCAACACACACTTCATTCCAGAGGTCAAAGGTGTGGAGATATTTAAACCTCTTTACAGTGGGAGCCATAGGTTTGCGGAAGGTGATATAGGAAAGGCTGCATTACCTCGCTGACTATTGCAGACCTGTGCGGTGTTCGGCTTGCAGAGAGAAAAAGATAGGCGTAGTGTCCCGCCTTCGAAAGGCTGCGGTGAGTATGAGCCGATAAAGTATTTCGCTCCCCCGAGGGCACTCACCTACACACGCTCCGCACCCCTTCGCCTGCAAAATTAACATTAGGACTGCGGACTCTTGACCTTTAGCTGTCGGGCCCCCACTTACGGTTGGAGTGTATGGCTGGCCCTCCGAAGGGCTACTTATATTCAAAGATACAAGGGCCGCAGTCGAGCGGAGCCACTTTATATAAATTATCTCTCCATCATCAGCAGCAGTCCCCTTCCCCGCTAGCGGTCGGGGTTAAGTGCGGCCCCCACCAGGCGAAGCACTGCAGGGAAGGGGCCAGTGCGAAGCGTGCAAAGCGCCTGCTTTAGCGGCGCTCCGATCAGCAGGGGGTGCAGGTGGAACCCTCCACCCAGGAGCGGTGGACTGCTTTAACACAGCGGCCGCGAAGCGCAGCTGGCGCCCTTCGGTGTGCGCAAAGCGCGAGTATCGCGGTCCTTATTCTGCGTAGCTGGACAGCGCAGCGATGAAAGGCGGGTACTGCTTTAGTCGTCAACAGCAGCAGCACGAAGCTCAGTCCTGCGGATGCTAAAGCAGAAATAATTTTTTTTAAAAGAGTATTGTATTTTTATGAAAAAAAATTGATTAAAAATAAAAAAATATGTTAGACGCTATCTTAAAAAAAAATAATAAAAAAAAATGTTAGCAGCAGCAAAATACATTGGAGCAGGATTAGCTTGTTCAGGTTTAATTGGAGCCGGAGCAGGTATAGGTTTAATTTTCGCATCTCTTATTACTTCTACAGCTAGAAACCCTCAATTAAGAGGACAATTATTTGCGTACGCAATCCTAGGGTTCGCTTTAGCAGAAGCCACAGGATTATTCGCATTAATGATTGCTTTCTTAGTTCTTTACAGTTAAGTATGCAACGTTGCTTCTGGTAACAGGAGCGCACAGCAGTCGCTGGGGGCGGGAGCTCCGCAACGAGCCCTTGCTTGAGTAAATAAAGCGCGCCGCAGTACTTCGCTTTAGCGGGCCAGCTACGCTGGCTTGCCCCAGCAAGCGAAACTATGCGTGTCGCTTTCTCGCGCCTGTAGCTCTCGCGCTTCGCGACCGTAGGGCTGCAGAAGGAGCAACCGCTACGCGCTAAAATTTACAACCCATTACCCCCTTTAGCATAGCACAGACAGCAGCTCCAACCATAGCCCCTGACCCTCCACACTCATTAAAAATAAAAAAATTTATCTACTTGTTTCTTCCCAGTAAATACCTTTTTTTTTACATCTTTCCTTTAAATATATCCGCCTATGCGTGAGCGCGCTCCGCTGGGGTGATTTCTTCTGCAAGAGCTCTACAGAAGGAGCGGTGCGCAGAAGGTAACTCTCAGCTCAGAAGGGGTGTTCTGCCTCTAAAGCAGGTGTCCTAGAAAGCTGTACTACGAAGGCGCTGCTTGCTGTGCAGCAGGGTTCGCCTCGCAATCGCTGCTCTGGTTCGCCGCGAAGGGAGCGCTGCGCCCGTACCTCACGCTGCACGGTAATATAGGAGCCGGGCTGCCTCGCAGCGGTGTCGGTCAGTCATACGGCATCCCCACTGCCCCACTTATAGGCAGGAACTAAAGGGCACCCCTCACCCCCCTGTGGCGCGCAGCGTGCTTCATAGAAAATAATAGGAATAGTATTCATTGGCAAGATAAGGCAATTGCTAATTGCTCGGTGGTACCTGTAGGAGTTCGAATCTTCTCTATTCCGAGAAATTTATTTAAAATTTTTTCAAAACACCCTTACCTACCGCTAGCTTAACCGCAGGGGACATCGGTCCCCTGCGGAGTCCTTCGCTCTGCTTTACCGTGCGCAGTTTGCGAGGCGCATGGCAATCTCCGCAGGGCGCAGTGCTGCGGGCCGAAGGGAGCGAAGCGCGAGGAGGGGTCGTACCCCTGCAGGTTCAGTTAGGTCGTCACAGCTTCGCATGAATATGCAGAACCTAGTAGTGCGCAGCAGCAAAGCGCGGGAAGGATCGGAGGGTAAATTAGCGCATTCCAAATTCGCGGAACGTTTCTAGGTACGAACTACCCCCTTGTCCCCCCGGCCTGCATACCGAATCGGGAACCCGTGTAATCCTGTACCAGGATTGTAGCACCCCCCTCTAGACTCCGCAGGGGGTACGATCGTGAAGCGCGTGCGGAGCTCGTCAGGATGCTAAAGCAGGAGTGCTTTAGCACGCACCCCCCCCCCGAAGGGGTGGGGGTTCCGGGCCGTCGCCTGATTACCTGGACTGGTTTAACTTCCGCAGGGTGGCCCTTCGTAGCACGCGCAGCACAGGTGGGCTCACGTAATGCGCTTGCGCGTAGGCTCCCTGCGTGATTGTCGCATTGCGCGAAGCGTGCGTAACACGAAAACAAGTAGCTAATTTAAGTAATAAAATAAAAAATCCGCAAGGTAAATTTCTGAAAAAGCCCTTATTCCCCCTGTCGAATTGTAGCTTGCAGGTGGACAGTTAAATTTGTCCAACTTTCAATACGGCGAAGTAGGAGGGAGCGTCAGGGTGGGGACGGGGGGGGGGGAGTTGCCCCTGTCGCATGTTAGCTAAAAGGCAACCCTAGCGAAGGAGGCAGCGCGCGTTGAGGAGGGCCCTTAGCTTAATTGGTAAAGCATCTAATTGTCGATTAGAGTAATTTCAGTTCAAATCTGAAAGGGCTCGTATTATTAAAAACGTAAGATGAAGGTTAGCCTCTTATAGTCTTACAAAGTTCAAGCAGTACATGCGCTTCGCAGCAGCGCACTGCGCTCGCCTTGCGGAGCGCGCGGAGCGGTGGTTCTGCTTTATGCGCTTCGCAGCTGCGCACTGCGCCCTGCGAATTGGAAATTGTAGAAGGTAGGAAGCAGCGGTAGGTAAAAAAATAGAAAAAAAAATACCATTGTCCGCTAAAAATAAAATATCCCCTAAAAAAAATTAAAAGAGATAATAAAAATTGTTATAAAAAACAAATAAAATAAAAAATTTAAAAAAAATTACTTAATACTTATTAGTTATTATTTAATACTTATTCGCCTGCCTGATTGAGCACCGCCGCTCCCTCCCGCGCAGCGAGCCCTACCCGCGCTTCGCGAGCTTTGGGCGGCCGGGAGGGCAAGCAGGGCAAGCTGGCGGACAGCATACTGAGTAATTTAATTTAATTTTTAAATTTCAATAAGAATTTAATTTTGGTTCTGATTGAACGTTTTTCAGTAGTTTTGAGACATGCGAATCGTTATTTATAAATTTAAATTAAAAAAATTAATTTTTTTTTTTTCTATTAAAAAATAAGGTGTAAAGGTGAGTATTGTAAATCAGATACCTTATAGTCCCCATAGAGAGGGGATGTTATTGATTTAGTTTATTCTTTATATAAATAAACGAAAAAATATATAAAAATTAAAAAGTTATTTATTTAAAAAAAGGAAATTTTCCGCTGTAAGATTCGATTTATTTCGTTTAATGGTAGTTGGTGAGGTAACGGCTCATCCAAGCCTACGATCGGAAGCCAAGTTCGAGAGAGCAGATGGCCACATTGGGAGTGAAATGCCCCAAGTAGTGTTAACTACCAGCAGTCAAGAATCTTAGTCAATGCTCGCAAGAGTGAACTAGCTAACTGAAATTATAATTATTCGGGAGACCGGAAGATGATGTAATAACGTAAGGGGAAAATCATGATATGCCCCATACTATTAGTGTTGTCCAAAATTGGTGCCAGAAGACTCGGTAAGGCCAAGAACGCAAACGTTAGTCACAATAAACAGGCGTAAAGGGTGTGTAGGCAGCTTTTTAAAAGTTTTTATTCTGGGTTAGCTTTCTGTATTAAAAAAATTAATTTTTTCCACAGACCAGAAAAAAAAGTTACTAAAAGCTAGAATCATAACGAGGTTAAACCGAATAATACTTGGTGTAGGGATTAAATCTGTAGAGACTAAGGGGAATACTAAAAGGTGTAAGCTTTTATCCACTAATGATTGACGCTGAGACACGAAGGTGGGAAAAGGAAATAGGATTAGATACCCAAAATACCTCTCACTGTAAACGATGAATGGTAACTTGTTAGTTTTTTAAATTAGCATTGATGTTAACGCGATAACCATTCCGCCTTGCGAGTACGGTTGCAAAACTGAAACCAAAAAAATTAGTCGGCCTCGAAGCAAACGAAGTGAAGCATGTTATTTAATACGATAATCCGCGTAAAACCTTACCAGTCCTTGTATATCCAAGCTATACTTATTTATAGCTATTCTATTTCTTTTGCTCCGCTAAAAAAAGACTTCGTAGTAATAAAAAAGTAGGAGTTTGTGTCATTTTTATATTTTAAGCGCTCCTGCTAAAGCAGACTATTATTGCCCGCTATCGGTACGGTCGGGTTGCTCGCGAGTGGAGAATGGCAGCTGCTGTCCCCAAACACTCGGGTACCCTAAGCCACTGCAGCGGTGGTTCGTCAAGCTGTAAAATAAACACAGCTTCACATAATAGTGAATAGATCGTTTTTACTTATGAAAATGCGTTTACAGGTGTTGCATGGCTGTCGTCAGCCCGTATCGTGAGAAGTTAGGTTAACTCCACAAACGGGCGAAATCCCTGTTGTTAATTTAGACTTAACAATTTATGATTATTAAATATTTTCATTTGGGACTAAGACAAGTCGTTATGGTCCTCATGGACTGGGCTATAGACGTGCCACAAGAACTTTTACAAAGTGATGCAAAGACCTAACCCTTTGCTATTAAGTTTTACTGTAGTCTGCAGATTCTCGGTTGCGCTTGCGCAGCAGAGGGACTGTTGGGCTGGAGTAAGATATTACGCCTTTAAGGATAATAGTTTAAAAATGTTTAATTATTTATTTAATTAAAATCTGGGTAATTTAGGAAATAGCTAATCATTAAAGAAAGTTAAATTATTAAATGAATTGACGGATTGTCGCCTGCAACTCGGCGGCATGAAGAAGGAATTTCGAGTAATCGTTGATCACTAGCGCAACGGTGAAGAGTGTATTCGTGGTGAACTAACTGTCTGTCGCTGGGGCGGAATTTATTTTGGGGGAAATAAGGGCGATATTTTTTATTTTAACTAAAAAAAGCGAAGTTATTAATATAATTTAATTATGTTATAACTTTATTATTTATTATACAAAATAATAAGTAGTCTTTTTATAAAGTGCGAGTTTAAGTAATTTTTTTTTACTAAATTTATTAATATAATAATTTTTAAATTTAAAACAGATTAGTTAATAAAAAATTAGTCTTAATGAACCCATTTAAGTAACATCTCAAAAGTCATAGCAAGGTAACTGTAATGGAAATTGCAGTTGGAAAATAAATTTAAATTTACCCCCTGCCCAGCCCAAAGCTCGGGAAGCGCGGGAGTCGCGAAGCGCGGGAGGGATTGATTTGTGAGTTTCGCTGCAACCGCTGGCGTGCTTTGCGACTGCAAGGTAAAGCGGGGCTGCGCCGCTAAAGAACCACCGCTCCGCGCGCTTCGCTGCTCCACCGGGGGTGCAGGAGGGTAGCGCAGGGTGGCGAAGCAGGGAGGGCTGTCTTGCGCAACCCTCCTTCTACGTAACTGTGTTTAATTAGGCAGGAGCGCCTGCTATATAGGTCAGGCTCCGCACTACTCGTCCTGCTTTTCCTGCGTACCTAAGCGCGGGACAGGTTTAGGAAGCTAAAGGGAAGCCCTCTGCAGCATAGTGGGGGTGTATAGCTGCAGTCCGCTGGAGCACGTACGGTCCGCAAGGCTGCATGCAGGTGGACCGCCCTTCCACGTAAGACCGCTCCGCAGATAGGTGACTTCACGTAAATGAATAAGGCAAGAGGGAGACACGTAAGACTACGTTACCTGGTGATTTAGAAGGGTTCTCCAGATGTTGTGTTTAGTGAATCCTCACTTGAGTTTGTTAGGCGACACCACTGTACCCTAACAGAAAAAACAAGGAAGACCCAGCCGCCTTCCCTCGGGTCCCCTTTAGAGGCGCAGCAGGCTTCCACTAAGTGGACGGTAAGCCTACTAAAGCAGTATGCTAAAGCAGTCGCGGGGGGGGGGGTGCGAAGCCCCCAACAGAAGGGGTGCGCGAGGGTTGATCCTTCGGCAGCAAAGCAGGGGTGGCTAATTAATTTTATATTACTAAAATTTTTTATT